CCTTGCTTTCACTGTATTTGATATTGGTATAATTTGTGGAGGGGAAGGGGAAAACATTGTTTAGATAGGGATACTGGTGGACAAACTGCAACAATGAGATGTACAAGATGTTATGTTGAAAAACGAACTTTACAATTTTGGCGGGGGAGGGGTGGGGGGGGTAGGGGGGGTGGCGGCTGGGGGGGGGTAGGGGGTTAAGGGGGACTGGATGGGGGGGAGATGGGAAGGGATGTGAAGGGGAAACAGGAAGAGGCAACACTGTTTGATAAGAAATGTACTCATTACCTTGTCCATGTAATTGTAACCCCTCTGTATAGTATTTTCACAATTAAAAAACAAAACAAAACAAAACTAAGTAGCTGGACTGGAGAGGGCAGTTCAGGGTCAGAGGAGCTCCTTTGGGAAGAACACTTAAATAAAGTGCTACATGGTTGTCTCTTAAGAGAATCTGTGGATTTGTCTTTCTGGATACACCTCCACTTCTGTGTCAGGGAAAATATCTTAAGGATTAATGAGAAATGAGGGATCCATCTTCACTGATTTTTACACATGTAGCTCCAAATTCTCCTGGGTATTGTCATCCTCATAGCTCATGGTTTGAGACCCCAGCTCTTGGTCTCTATTTCTTTGTTCCGTTTCTTCACTATTTCCATCTTTCCTGTACAGGTGTTCAAAAACACTGTAGGAAAGGAGAGCTTTCAGGAAAGGACTTTTCAGAGTCTTCCTATATTCGAATTGTTACAGCCAATGAGGAAAGGAGATGAGGGAAGTCACTCATGACTCTTTCTTTAAATTCCAAATATGCCCTGTACCTGGAGATGTGGATTCTTGGATTGAGGCTCAAATGTATTCACAATGATTTGCAATAGCAAGTCTTGGTCTGGAGACAGTTTTTGTACACTTCTCTGTATGACAAGAAAAAATTATCCCTTTTAGAGTGCTGTTCAAATCCAACTGTGAGTGCTTCTCCAAGGAAAGAAGCTTTGGTGTCTAGGTAAATAAGGAACATATAGTATGAACTTTCATAGTGGGTAATGAGGCTAATAAATATGATGATTCTGTTTCCTGACACCGGGAAATTGAGAAGTAAGAGTCCCTTACTGGCCACATGTAAGTGAAACCAGAAAAGATTCTGGGGGCTGCAGGAGGCCTATGATTTCAGCTGGAGTATGAAATGCTGTAATGAGCAGTATGAAGAAAATCGGAGAATTACTTCTCACTACACTCCACAATGTTTTACATGCAAACTTTGAAGGCTTCCGGGTGCCACCAGGGAGCTATAGTAAATTCTAGAGACTCGACAATGTTTCCAGTCTTGATGTTATGAACATCATTATGTTGATGACTTAATTCGAAAAGTGATTGCATTTGGAGGCCAGTCTCTACAGATATAATAAAGGTGAAATAAAGGTAAAAAAAGAGGGATTCTTACAGTAAAAAAAAAACTTATTAATAAAAAAGGGACTCTAATCCAATCGTACTAGTTCACTTGTAGTAATAGAATTTCTAAACATAGGCCTCTGTGTGTTTCTCTCTTTCTCTCCCTCCCAGCCTCCCCTTTTTCTTTTCTTCCTTTCCTTCCTTTCCTTCCTCCCTCCTCTTCCCTTACTGGGTGATCTGAGAGGAAATGATATATAAGGCTTCAGGAAGAAGGTTGCTGTTTACAAGTCAAAAGTGAGCCATCACCAGAAATACATTTCACTGCACTTTGATTATGGGCTTCTTTCCAGAAACAAGTCTGATGTTGAACTAGCTAATAATAGCATAGTTCTGTTATCTGATTAAGCCTTTATGATGATAAAGAGAAAGGTACTTCAGGATGGAACCTTTAGGATCAAAGAGTGGAAAGGAGGGCTGCCTTCTAAATTAGTTTATGCACTAAACTGTAGTATAAATTTCAGAGGTATAAATAAAGCTAAAAGACTTGAATATTTCCTTTCTCTGTCAAACCTATGGTTTCTCCAGGGTATAGTCTTTGTATCTAAATTTAATACAGAAAAAGGAATGATTGTAAGTCACAGATGCCCTCCGTTTTTATAAATAAGGACCTGGCTTGATTTCTGCCTTTAAACCTTTCCAATTGAGAGCAAATAAGTGGAGACATAGATTTCTCATTAATACTGCATTCTTGATTGAGTAAAATGTATTTTCATATTTTACTTCCCTCATATGAATTTCTATTTGTCTCTAGCACCACCAAGACTCATCCTGTAGAAAGGAGTTTATGACTTATAGGAAAATAATATAATGAATATTATTGAATATTGATTCTTTTCAGTTCTTGGACATATTTAGGTAAACCTCTGTGTGTGTGTGTGTGTGTGTGTGTGTGTGTGTGTGTGTGTGTGTGTGTGTGTGTGTGTGTGTGTGTGTGTGTTTAGTACCTATGAGCCTCTCTGTTCATCCTTGTTTGTCATCATGAGCTATGATTATGGTTACTTTTTATAAAAATTCTTGCCTAATTCTTCCTGTTTTGCCCACCTGTTCTGTCAATCCTTCTGAGGGCTTTGCTCTAAGTCCAGTTTCATTGAATGGACTAGTAAAAGAAAAATAAAAACAAGAAAGTTTTGAGGATCACATTTTAAGGCTTATCAGACTTAAAATCCACCAGTAGGAGTAGGAATCCCCTTCCAATTCCACTTCACATGTCATGGAAGAGACTCACATCAGGTAGTTTCTGGTAATCTGTCGTGGCCGCTAGGTGGCAGAAGTTTTCATTCCCTTTATAAACTGGCCCTCCCTTACATGAAAGTAACTAGAAAATAAGTTTCTATGAGAAGAGCTTATCCTATGTCCCTCCCCCACAGTATAACTCAGATTTTCTGCTGCTCCTATCATGTTCTTTGTGCTTCCACATGAGCAGATAAAAAAAATCTTGAATTCATCAGTTAATCACCTATGTTAGGTGGCCTGAGGTCTGGTCAAGATATAATTTTATAGGACAAAATCCCTGGATGGGAAAATCTTAATGAATTTTGGGATTATTAAAAGTAACTAAAAACAGCTGGGTTTATGTTTGTTTAGTTACTTTTTAAATTTTTATTTATTTTTATTGTGAAAATACTGTACAGGGGGGTTACAATTACATGGGCAAGATAATGAGTACATTTCTTATCAAGCATTGTAGCCTCCTCCTTTGTTTCCCCTTCCCATCCCTTCCCAGCCTCCCCCCACTCTCCCACCCAATCCTCCCCCACCCCCACCAAAGTTGTAAAGTTCGTTTTCCACATGACAACTTGTACTTTTCATTGTTGCAATGGGTGTTTAGTTACTTTTATTCTCTGTGTTGCTCTTGAGACTTGAACTCAGGGTCTAGGCACTGTACCTGAGATTATTTGCTAAAGGCTAACACTCAACCACTGAGTGACAGCTCCACTTCTGGCTTTTTGGTAGTTAATTGGAAATATAAGTCTCACAGACTTTCCCCTCCAGGCTTGTGATCCTTCTGGCTTTGAATTGCAATCCAGAGATCTCAGCCTTTTGAGTAACTAGAATTACAGCTTAGAACCACCACACTCTTGCATGATAACCATTATTAAGCACATACTCAAGAGAAGCACATTAAATGTCTTTAGGTCAACAAATCAATCCTTGTTCAATGAGGCAAATATTATTAACTTACTTGACTTAATGAGAAGTATGTCCATGAAAAGTCCTTGCCTAGGGCCAAGGACTTGCAAATGGAAGAGGTGACATCAGAACTTCTGTCATTTCATGGTCTAGGCGGTATAAACACGTCTCAAAGCTTTGCAGGCCATAGGCTTTGTAGTATGCTCCTCACACAAAGGTTTTTGTTTATATTTTCCAATGAAACTTCTGCTTAGAATAAAAATGGAATAATGGCAAACCCCCCAAACCTATTTCTATTAGTAGCATTTCAGTCTATTTTAATTTCTGTTTTGTTTTCATAGGAAATTTTTCTATACACAGTTTCTCATTTTTCAATATAAATTTAAGAGTTACCATGTGTTGTTGTGTTTTATAAAACCTCAAACGCAAGCCTGCTGTGGTCTACACACTTTTAATCCCAGAACTTGAAATTATAAGGCAGAAGGATCAGAAGTTTAAAACCAGATTGGGTTACATAGTGAGTACTAGGCCAGTCTGAGATTGTCTCTAGCTCTAACCTGAGATTCTCTTATAAAATCAAAATTAACAACCTCAGACCTCAATTGTATTGCCATTGGAATCATGATAAATGTTAGATTGACAACAGAGGATGAACTTTCCCCATAATTTATGGTCTGTTCTTTACATAACTTTTTCCTCCCCTTCTCCCATATCAAGTGTTCAGATATGAGAAATCAAGACAAATAGGACACCCAGACTAAGAAGCGACAAGTCCCAAATAAGATCCAGTATATGTCTAAATAGTTACAAAATCATAGCTCCAAACCTATGAATCTTACTATATCACTCAGGTATCTTATGTTAGTGTTATACCTTTATGCAAGGCCCTAGAGCTATTTCCTGTTAAAGCTTACGCATAGATGTGGGGCCATTCATCTGCCCTCTCAGCCTTCATGAAGGATGACATTTCCAGAAAGCATTGAAAAAGGTGTTTATGTTCAAGGAGAAACATCAGTAAGGCTTGTTCAGAAAAACCCATCCTTTGTACACACTATGTCCATTGGTTACATTGCCTTGCAATAACATTACCTTTTCTATGAGAAGGTTTCTACAAACACCTCAACCCTGCAATGTGTCATTGTGCTCACTGCTTGGTCTTTCAAGGAAAATCTTTATTTTGTAATTATTACATTCTGTGACAATAAAATTATATTGAATTATGTTTATCAATAATACTGCCAGAAGGAAATACATAGAGATAACATGTGGTAAAGCAAAATTTTAGAAAGTCTTGTACCAGAAAAGCAACAAAAGAAGAATTACTCTGAGAAAGAAGATGGAAGGTTAGAGACAGGGCAATATCAGAGATCTGTCTGCTCAACCAAAAATACAACAATTTTTATTGGGAAACATTTTTTATTTTTTTATAGCTCAAAAATGCACATGAGGAAAATCCTGGCTTCATTAAAACATACCTCAGAAGGAGGAAAAAAGCAACTAAATATACTGCTGCAAGGTCTGCAGCAGCGAGGTGCAGTGCTCCACTTGGCACAGCATGCCACAAGAGACAAGCCTCCTTTAGGCACAGTGAACTGGTCACAGCTGATCATCACACAGGACAAACAGGCAGAAGCAATGCACCCCACACCACTGTAGCTTCAGTGAAGCACAGAAAGCTCCTTTGCAGGAAAATCCTAGAAAGAAGGCCACCCCAGCACCACATACCATGAGTCACACACACAACTACCAGGTGACCTGGAAGAAGGGTGGGGATAGAACCAAGTCTCAAGCTCAGAAGCAGGCACAGGACATAGGAAGGTGTGTGAGGGTGCAGAAGCAAGGAACAAAATTCTGTGCTCAGAACTTAGAAAGGACACAAATCTCAGCCTTCACAGGAAAGAGGGAACCTTGCCTCCTGCTGACCACATCACAGATCGGCACTTAAGAAAACCTGGGACAAGGGACAAAGATTTGTGCTCAAGACCCAAAGATTGCTGATCTCAGACCACAGTGGTAACAAGAGGGCCCCACTTTCCATCAGTCCTGGACATAGAAGTAGGATATGGTTTCCAGCAAGCCTCACACAGAGACAGACAAGAACTGATTGAGTCAGGAACCAAAGGGAGGGGCTCCAAATCAGAGTTCCACCTCAACAGCTTAGCCCTCAGTACTGAATTAGTGCTGACCTGTAACCAAGTCTCATACTAACAGGGACAAGGACTAAACAGTGCCTCAAATCAGAGTCCAGCACCCACTGTAGTCCCCAGCACTGAGTGAAAGCCAACCTGTAGCCAAGACCCAGGACAACAGGGACAGGGACTGAATGGTTCTCTAAACCATACTCCAGCTACCACCTTAGCACTCAGTGCTGAGTGAAGGCCAGCCTCCAATGTAGTTTTATGCACACAGGGATTGAAGGACTCAAACTTCAGTGTCCCAACCCTGATCTCAGGTCCCAGACAGAGCTATTTGAAGCATAAGCTTCCAGCCTCCAGCCTTGTGGTGCACATTACAGGGACAGGAACCAAAGGCAGTGCCAAAATCAGAGACCTGTCTGGGACACAGAAGAGAATTAGAAACCTTTCCCAGCTGTAATCCATGAAAGCAGGTGCAGAGGCTAATGGTCTGATTTTCATCCATCAAGTGACTGACTCTTCCCCACTCATAAAGAAGTAGGAGAACTCCTCCATTCCTATAAACATACAAGACTGGTGATATAGAAAAGGTGAACCAAGACACTTTAGTATATGTAAGATTTCAACCATTTAGGCTGGGATGAGGTACCAAAGCTGACATATATGCTACACCAGTAAAGAGACACACCCCATAAAAACATTGACTGCCTTGCTAATCAAGAATACAAAGACCAATGTGTTTGGAAGATATTAGATATGTCCAAATGTGCAAAGCCCATCACAAAAATATGAGAAATATGAGAAATCAAGGAAGCACCACACCCCCAGAAAACAACAACTATTTAACAATAGGATACAAATATAATAATCTAGAAATATCTCTACACATAGAGCTAAAAGATCTACTGGTAAAAATGGTACACAAAATGTCAGCAAACCTATATGACATTTTGTGAATGCAACAAGACTAACCCAAAATAATGAAAGAATTTATGAGGAACACAATAGAAAGATAAAGGAATTCAAAGAGATGGCAAGGAGTCCAGTGCTTAAAAATGACCACTTAGTTAAAATAGATGAAAGAAGGCACAGATAAATCAGTGAAGTAAAGAAGTCAATATAAGAGGTAAACAAAGACTTCCATAAACATATAGAAACCTTTAAAATGACCAAACCAAAAGCAAAGAAGTAAAAACTAAAGTTGAAAATCTCTGTGGCAGAAGAGATGTTGTAGAACAGAGTCTTAGGGGGTGAAGATAAAGTAGATAGAATAAAGGAGAGGAGATAATCATGCAGAAGAAATCCAAGATATAGGAAGGGAGCTTGCAAGAACTTCAAGACTCAATTAGAAGATTTAATTTGCAGCCAATAGCTATTGAGGAAATAGAAAAGGCAGCAGCTTAGTGACTATAAAATATGTTTGATAGAATTTAGCAGAGAATTTCCAAAATGAGAACTTCAAAAAGAGAACTTTCCAAAACTTCCAAAAAGAGTGATATACAAGATACAAGAGGTGATATTCAGATACAAGAGATCTTAAGAACCCCAGCAGACCAGACTAGAAAAGCACCTCATACTACTGCCACATCATGACCCAAACTGGATCAATAGAGAACAAGGAGAGGATATTTAAAGTTGTCAGAATAAAAAGATTTGATTATTTATAAAAGAAAACCTGTCAGAATAACTGCGTATTTCTCACTAAAAACAAGGAAGGCTTGACATGATATATGTCAAGTATTGAAATCAAACAATTCACACCTGAGAATACTGTATCCAGCCAAGCTTTCCTCCATTACTGAAGGGCAAAAAAAATCATTTTATAAAAATTAAAACTAAAACAATTTATCTCCACTGAACCAACAGAGATATTCAAAGGCATCTGGTTTCCCTGCCTAGTTCATGTCAATTTCATGTTTCAGACCCTGCCAGATAAGCAGATAGATATGGTAAGAATAGCATAGGCACAACTTTTAAAAATGGGGGTTAAAATTACAGGAGCTATCACTTACCTCTCATTTCTAATACTCAATATCAACAGGATTAATTCTCTTATCAAAGGACATAGAGTGGCTGGTTGGATAAAGAAACACCCATTCACATCTTCTGCCTACAGGAGAAACATATAACTGACAAAAAATCCCACAAATGTCTATTTAAGGTGAAAGGCTGAAACAAAGGTTTTCAAGCAAATGATCTTCATAAACAGGTCACACTGCAGTACTAAATAATAAACACTACAATAATAATATCAGATAAAATAAATAAAATAGATAAATTTCATTGGAAATGACACAGGATATTACATATTTATAAAGGGAACTTTCTAACAGAAGGATATAGCAATTCTAATTATCGATATACTGAATGCTGGCAACCCCAACTTCATCAAACAAATACTAAATGACCTAAAAACACACATAAATCCAAACTAATTAATTATTGGTGACTTCAACACTTGATTATCACCTTTGGATAGATCATCCATGCATAAATTCAGCATAAATTCACTATGTAACCATAGTGAACAGGTAGACCAAACAGATATCTACAGAATCTTTCACCCAGCAGTATCACATTCTCCTTGGTCACAAAACAAATCTGTATAAATTCAAAAACAAATTGAGATTACTCCCTGCATCCTGTTAGACAACAGCAGAATACAATTAGAGCTCAACAACACAAGCGATCACAGAAAATACCTAAACTCAGAGAAATGCAGTAATATATTGCTATTCAGCAATTAGAGGGTCATTGAAGAGATAAGAACAAAATTCAAATATTTCTAGAATTCAACATAAAATAACATATGAAATATTATTTCCTCTGAGACACAGCAAAGACAGTACTCAGAGGAGAGTGTATAACTATGAGTGCCACATCAACCAATGACAGAAATCTCAAATCAATACTCTAATAATGCACATCAAGCTCATCAAGCTCCTAGAAGAATAAGAACAAGCTAAACCTAAAAACTAATAGATGGAAAGAAATATAAAACTTTGATCAGAAATAAATGAATTAGAGACTATTAATTAAAACACACAAAAAATCAACAAAACAATTAAGCTGATTCTTTAAAAAAAAAGAAAATTTATAGATCCATGGAAAATTGTCTAAAAGAATAAGAGAAATCAAATAAATAATATCAGAAATGAAAGAGGAAGCATCATAACAGATTAAAGCAATATTCAGATTATTATCAGGGAATACTTGAAAAACCTTTGCCTATTGGAGAATCTAGTAGAAATGTTTATATTCCTAAATAACATAAATATATCTAAATTGAGACAAGAAGATATAAACCAATACACTCATAACAAACAATGAAATTTAAATATATTAAAAGATTTTCTATTCAAGAAAATCCCAAGGACTCGATGATGGCTTTATAGAAGAAGTCTATAAGCTCTTTAAGGGAAAACTAACACCAGTATTCCTCAAAATCTCCAATTGAAGTAGAAAAGGGACATTACTCCCAAACACTTTATAAAACCAGCATTACACTCATCCATCATTCTCTGGCCATAAAGCAAATGCAAATTAAAGCAACACAGATTCTACCTCAGTCCAGTTAGATGGCCATCATCAAGAATACAAGTAATAACAGATGCTGGCAAAGATGCGGCCAGATAGGATCTTTAACACACTGTGGCTGCATTTCTCCACCACTCTGGAAAGCACTATTGTGGTTCCTCATAAGATAAACAGGATTACCGTATTACCCAGAAATTCCACTATTGAGCATCTATCCAAAAGACCACTCACCTGGTTACAATAAAGTCACCAGCACAACCATGTTCATTGTAGCAGTATTTACAATAACCGAGATATGCAACCAGCCCAGATGCCCCTCAATGGATGAATGTTGTACATATACAAAATGGAATTTTACTCATGCATTAGAATGATATTGTACCATTTGTAAAGAAATGGGAAGACTTGGGGGAAAAAAACTTACACTAAATGAAGTAAATCAGACCTAGAAAGACAAATTTTGCAAATTCTCCTCATATATAGAAGCTAGAATTAGCTTATAAACTAATCAGAAAATACATTAGGTGGTATGCAATATATTCAAATAATATAACACCTTAGAAAGACAAAGTAAAAGTTCCACAAAATCAACACCAGGAAACAGGTACTTGAAAGTGGTGAGGTAAGATCATGGGGAGAGGAGCAGAAAAAAAAGAAGTGAGCAGTAGAATGCAGTCAACAATTCAATGTGCATTCTACAAAGTTAAGAAAAGTGGGGGAAGGGTTATTTGGGAGGGATGAGTGAGAATGTTGAAAGGTGTGACATTGATCAATATGCATTATATTCATAAATTGCTTTATTCAATGGTAACTTCCTTGTACAACTACTTATAGATTATTTTTTAAATTACTCTGAGTGCAATATATTAGTTTCAGTATCCAGAAATCATTTAAAGTCCTAGATCAAAAGATACTGATTCCTGGCAATTTTGTAAAGGTTTAATAACATTAATTAATGTGTTCTTCAAACTAAGAGTTACATTATCTGTGGTGCTAAACTCAGGGTCTCTTGCATACTAGGCAGTCACTCTATCCATGACCCATCTCCCAGTTATATGAAAAGTTTTAATAATTATACCTACCCACAATATAAATGTTTCCTTTTTCTTTAAGAAGCTTTATTAAATTATGTCTCTCATAAATGAGGTCTTAAATGTGAATCTGTATGATATTAAAAGCAATGGTATTTTCTCAACCAAAGACTAATTGTTTATTCTTAAGAGTGTTTAAAAACAAATATATTCATTACCTATCTAATGTAACTGTAACTCTCCTGCTCATCACCTTTTCAATAAAGATTATTATTTTTTTAAAAAAGGAAGGAAACATTTGCTAACCATTTCCTAGGATTTAGGTGGGAAAATAGTGAAAAAGGGGAAAAAACCTGGAAGACTGTGTAACACAAAGTCTTCTAATAATGATTAAACATGCATTAGCATTCCTATGACTGTATGCCAGAGTAGATTCTTATGACGTTTCCATGGGTCAGAATGGTCAAAATGACTAATCAGGAAAAAGTAAATTAAATGCTTCTTAGACAAGTTATGGCATGGAGTTTCCCAAACGGGCCATATTCACGGAAAAAATAAACACAAGAAAAAGAGCAAGTTTCCTTTAGAATTTCAAAGTACAATCAGTAGGCTGTCAGACATCTTAGTAAAAAGGGAGAAGTGGATGCTCAATTCACTTTTTTTGCTGGCCCTGGAGCCTGAACTCTGGGCCTGGGCACTGTCCCTCAGCATTTCAGTTCAAGGCTAGCACTCTACCACTTGAGCCACAGTGCCACTTCCAGATTTTTCTGTCTATGTGGTGCTGAGGAATCAAATCCAGGCCCTCATGTATGCAAGACAAGTGCTCTACCACTGAGCCACCTTCTGTGCCCCTCAACACAGACTTTTGAGAGAAAACATAACCATCATCTAACTTTATTTCCTGTCCTTGAGGGGGAGGCACATCTTCCTAACACACCCACTTCCTGTTGTCATCTTCATCTCACCTTTATCTTTTCCCTGTGAACTTCACCTTTCCTTACAGTAAGAAGTTAAGATTCACAGACTGCAGAAGCTCTAGAAATGAGCTGTTCTCAAGGAGCAGTGATTGTACTGCTCTTAATGCTTGGTGAGGAAAATTGCATATCAGCTTTGATTCTTCCACCATTAATTTTTGACAAAAATCTTTAACCAGTTTGTTCTAAGAGGCAGACCCCAGATCATACCAAGGAGACCCAGATAACTCACACTGGATTCTCATATTTTTGTGTTTCAGGGGGAAGCCATGGAGACTCGGTGACCCAGACACAAGGCCATGTGACCCTCTCTGAAGGGGCTTCCCTGACTGTGAACTGTTCCTATGAAGCAACATATTACCCAACTCTCTTCTGGTACATCCAGTATCCTGGAGAAGGTCCCCAGGTCCTCTTTAAAGTCGCCAAGGCCAATGACAAGGGAAACCACAAAGGATTTGAAGCCATATATGACAGAGAAAGCACCTCCTTCCACTTGAAGAAAGCTGCAGTCCTAGAGTCAGACTCGGCTGTGTACTACTCTGCTCTGAGAGACACAGTGGCAGAAACCACAGAGGGAGCTGAGCACAAACTGAGGGACAACAGGGGCTTGGCTGCTGAGCTTCTGCTTCTCAGCTGGCTCTCTTGAGGGAAGAACCAGAAAACCCAGCACTTTTGTGGTATAACAACCACCCAAAGTAACGCTAGGAACACAATAGGAAGACTTGAAGTAAATGTACTTCACTCAAGTGCTTTTACAATGGGAGTGTAACAGCATGAGCTCTAGTTCCCCAACACGGCCTAACGTTTGTGACATTAAAAGTACAAAACTTCAAGATTAATGAAGTGGTCCTTATATTCACCTTATCTAGAGTTTGATCCTCTTAACCATGAAACAGTTCATGCAAAGAAATTTGTTTTGAGAGAAGTTGTAACATATTGTGGATGAAATGCTTACTGTACAGTCCCTGATAAGTTGATGATGAAAAATGTCACATATTCCTGCAACAAATTTTATTTTGAAATAGAAAAGAATGCAAAGGTTTACAAACAAGACCACACTAAAGCTACCTGCACAACTATGTTTATTACAGCATTATTTACCATAGCTAAGATATTGAACCAACCCAGATGCCCCTCAGTAGGTGAATGGATTAAGAAAATGTGGTATATATACACAATGAAATTCTATGCCTCCATCAGAAAGAATGACACTGCCCCATTTGTTAGGAAATGGAAAAACTTGGAAAAAATTATATTAAGTGAAGTAAGCCAGGCCCAAAGAAACATAGGTTCCATGGTTTCCCTTATTTCCAATATCTAGTATATGTATGAGTCAAGCAGAAAAGGTCAGATAATGTGATGTTAGGAAAATACATATCTAATATGTATTTTAATGCTTTTTTATTTCATGCATTTGTTTCTAACACATTTATAAGATTATCTCTTTGTTGCTTTGTATGTCCCTCCCCCACAGTATAACCCCTGCTTTCACTATATTTGATGTCAGTATAACTTGTGGAGGAGATGGGGAAAAACAAGTCGTTTAAGGATACAGGTGGACCTGTTGCAACAATGAGAAGTACAAGGTCATGTCCAAAACGAGCTTTACAACGTTGGTGGGGGGGGGAAGGGGGAGGAATGGGTGGTGGGGGCTAGTGGATGTGAAGGGTAAACAAAGGAGGAGGCTGCAATGCTTGATAAGAAATGTACGCATTATCCTGCCCATGTAATTGTAACCCATCTATACAGTATGTTCACAAAAAAAAAATAAAATTAAATTAAAAAAAAAAGAATGACAAATTGACAAACCAATGTACACTTAAACATGGATGAACTCTGAATTAACAGAAATAAGTGAAAGATATACCTAAAAAGTATCGGATGATGCAGGACTTTATATGCACTGGTCAGGTAAGTGACTTACAAAGACACCAGTTTCTGTCTACCTGGATTTCTTTTTTTATTGACACATCAGAAGACTTTCATTACTAAATACATCATGTATCATGTTGTTAGAGGTGTACAAAATGCATGATTGAAGAGCCACTAAAAAAATAGTCCAAGAAATGTGACATTCTTTGTAATAATAAAACATATCCATGAAAAATATAAAATGCTGCATATGTATATATACACAATGTATTTATAATATACATGAAAACAGTAAATAGGAAATTCAAACTCTTTTTTTTTTTTTAATCGGTCGTGGGGCTTGAACTCTGGCCTGGGCGCTGTCCTTCAGCTCTTCAGCTCAAGGCGAGTGCTCTACCACTTGAGCTACAGCACCACTTCCAGTTTTCTGGTGGTTTATTGGAGATAGGAGTATCATGGTCTCTCTTGCCCAGGCTGGCTTTGAATTGAGATCCTCAGATCTCAGCCTCCTGAGTAGCTAGGATTACAGGCTTGAGCCACCAGCACCCGGTGAAATTCAAACTCTTAATCTGATCTTTCACTCATTGTCTGACATTCTACCACCTATGCCATGCTTCCAGACCCTCTAATCTGGATTTTTATTTGCCTAGGTTGGAGGGAAATATTGGTGATTTTTTATGGATACAGAGTTTCTTTCTGTGATGATGAGAATGTTTACATCTTGATTTGGGTGATGGTGTCAGGAATCAGAAATACACATCTACAAAATACACAGTCACAATTTAATAGTAGTCATAAATCTTCCACCAGCAAGACAATCTTTCCAGGAAGAACAATGAAAGAAGGTGATTTCATCTCCTGGAATCAAAGGAAAGAAGTTTTCTAACTTTGCCAATCATTTCACTAGCTGCAGAGGAAGCTGTGAATTTCTCTGATCTCTTCTTTTCAAATTCCTTTCTTTGGGATGTCAATTTCTTAGATTCAGATGTCATGGCACATTTATTTCATCCTCCTTTAGGAACAAAGTCTTCTTGTCCACAGTTACATCTTGTACTTAAAGCACAGAGGCACTACTCTTTTCAGAGTCCCTTCCTCAGCCATGGGAAATACATCCACCATCATCTATCACCACCATGGCTGTACTGGGCCATCCAAACTCAGCCTGAAGCAGCAAATCTGAATCAAGATATTTATGAACTAAGACCAGATATTTGATGTACTTTTCATAAACTGGCTTCTCCCTGAAGTAACATATATTTCAATATATCTCAATATTCACTAGATTTCACCTTGAACTCTAGGACTAAAATACCATCACAGATTTGGGAATAAAGAGTGTTGTGTGAACTTGAGCATACATCCTGTAACCTACACACAGTAAGGGGCAACTACTGGCATGCATAACCTGTGGTTCCTTATCTGGCCTCTGTGGTAGGCAGTGCTGCCTACCACAGAAGACTTGTATCTGTTTAGTTTTTCCTTCATGCAGCTTACAGATAAGAATAAGAGGGGGTAAACAGCCTCCAGGGTGATTGCAGCAGTCCTGCTGAACTTTCTACACACCTCCCTTTTCCAAGTTCTTGCTTTCTATAGCCACTTGCAACATCTCGACGGCTCAGCCATGCTTCTTGTGCTCCTTTCAGCACTAGGGATGCATTTATTCCTGAGTGAGTACTTTTCCTGTTGTATTCCACCCTCAGGGTCTAAGTAGGTATGCTTAAGTTCCATAGTCAAGTTTGTGCTGATTTAAAGACCTGTTTGATTTTCCAGGACATGCTACAGCCCAGTTGGTGACCCAGCCTGATGTCCACATCACTGTCTCAGAAGGAAATTCTCTGGAGCTGAGGTGCAACTATTCCTATGGTGCTTCAGTTTTTCTCTTCTGGTACGTCCAGTATCCCAGCCAGGGCCTCCAGCTTCTTCTCAAGTATAGTTCAGGAGACCCCCTGGTTCAAGGCCTCAAAGGCTTTGAGGCTGAATTTAAGAAGAGTGACTCTTCTTTCCACTTGAGGAAACACTCTGTGCATGTGAGTGACTCGGCTGCATACTTCTGTGCCTTGAGTGTCACAGTGCCTGGGGCTACAGTAGCAGCTGAACAAAAACCAGCCACAGAGAGGACATTCCACAAGCCCAAGGTCTCTCTGTGGTGTTTTGAACACTTGCTTTGTAAAGGGCAATGAGGAAAGGAGGCATGAGCAGAAACCACTCCCTTTTACAGGATTCTGCAATTCTTGCTGCAATATCCCATGTCTGGTGAGCTTCTTAGACAATTTAACTTGCACACATTCCATACACCATAGTCTACGATGAAAAACACTCAATGTAAATTGTGTAGTCATAATGCTCTGCTACACTGATTCTTGCTGGGTGAAGATACTCCACAACTTATAGGTTATTGTTCTTGCAAGGTTTCAAATTGTTATAAACAATGATTATTAAAATATGAGAAGCCTTGGTAGGCAACACTAAAACATTCACTAATTTGTTATTTAATAACAAATTTGTTATTTAATATCATTATATATCACACAGTCCATATATTTGTAAGTCATTATACATACATCCATATATATGTATATTTCTAGTCATCTGAATGTTGGGAAGATAATTAGACATCACTTTGGTAGAATATCAAAGGTAAGAGAATGCTTTTATTTGGGAAACAGACTAGAACATGAATTTAAAAAGTAAAATGTTAGAAGTTGAAGATTTTTTTCATGTATAGTTATGACTCCAAATTGCTTTTGTGATTGATTTCATATAATGGAATACTAAAAATAGATCTTGTGTTAGTTTTCTAATGGTGCCATAGTAAACTATGACTGGATGACTTAAACTTAGCAGAATTATACTTTCTCATTACTAAGGAGCCTGGAAACCATGGTCAAGGAGTCAACAGGATTCTCCTGAAGCCTCACTTTGGCTTGCAGATGGCTGCATTTTCGATCAGTTCCACTCATTCTTTCTGAGGATATACATGATTATGTCCATATAAGACTAGATGTATTTAGTAAGAGCCCATTAATTGCCTTTTTATGCCCTATATTCAAATACAGTCATATTCTCAGATTCTCAGTGTCAGTGCTACAGCATATAAATTTTGGGTGGGTGTATGCAGTCTCCATCAGCCCTCCAAGTAAATAAATGCTATTTTCATAAAGACCCTGGAAGTCTTCATCAGCCCACATGCTGTAGGTTTCCAGGGTATACAAGGCTCTTTTTTTGTAATTCTAATGATGGATTTTTCACATTTTCCCTCACAAGGCTTTTAAGGGGGATGAGAGCCATGTTATCACAAGTAATTCCTAAATATTCCAAACTGTAGAGCAAAGAATAAAAAAAAATTTTAATTTGTTTTAATACTTGTATTCTTTCTCCTTAGCTATACCAGAGTATGAAATGGTCTCATGTTTAGTTTTATCCTTTTGTAAAGACAAATCTTCATTCATTTTTGACATTTCATCTCTGCACCTTTTTCCTTTCCCAATTTTCTTTTCTATCTGAAGGTTATTTATTTGCCTTGGTACCCCTTCTACTCATCTCTGAGTTCTCCTGTGCATGAGCTAATTCAACTAGCATGCTATTCTCCTTTTGCCTACCTCCTTTCTACACTCCTGGCTCTTACTAAAGCTAGGACTTGTCTTTGAAGGCTGCAATGCGCTTGATGTTGAGGGAGGGGTTGAAGAAGCAGGCTCAGCTTTAAATATATTCGACAAACTTCTTGACTGTAGTGTAGTATATGCAGAGAAAGATTCAAACTGTGACCAACATACA